CCGGAGAGGAGCAAAGGGACAGGGCCGACAGAGAGAGCCCATGTCTCCCGGAGCGGGGCAAAGGGACAGGGCCGACAGAGAGAGCCCATGTCTCCGGGAGAGGGGCAAAGGGACAGGGCCGACAGAGACAGCCCATGTCTCCCGGAGCGGGGCAAAGGGGACACGGCCGCTGGGGCGGCTCCGGGCCGAGCCCGCCGTGGGGTGCGCGGGGCAGGGCGGGCACCGGGCCCACCCACGGCGGGGACGGGCGCGGCCGCGTCCCGTGGAAGCTGGGGCGGAAACCTGTTGGTAGAGTCTGAAAAGTGCCCTGTTCTTTAGAGCGTGATCTAGCTCCCATCTGGATGGAGAACTGCTAGCTGAGTTCTCGCACGAGGCTTCCTTGGGAAATTTAGGAGGAGCTGGAGATACCCGAGCCGCTCCGAGCCTGCAGCTCCATCCACTGATAAGTGAGCAGGATAGAATGCGTCTCCGTATTTTGTCCTTCCCAGCTTCATGCTCTACCATACTTTTTTTTTTTTTGGCTAGGAATGACCGACAGCTGAAATTGTTCCCCATATATGTTTTATAATTACCAGCTTTTTTGTTATACTAAAGACTGGGGAAAAAGAATCTGAGTAATATGATACACACGTAGAAAAGCAATATTCTCTGTTATGAACAGGTGGATGTTTTCATGCCCTATGCCAATGCTTGGCACTGCCATGAAGGTTAATACATGTCTGCCTGACTAAATGCCAACAAGCTGAAGCACAGAACTGATTAGGAGGATGGAACACCTCACCTAKGAGGAAAGGCTAAGAGAAATGGGATTGTTCAGCCTGAAGAAGAGACGTCAGGGTGACCTAATGCTGCTGTCCAGTACCTGAAGGGAGCCTGCAAGAAAAAGGCAGACTTTTCGCAAGGGCAAGGGGGAATGGCTTTAAATTGGAAGAGAGAAGGTTTAAATTAGGTATGAGGAAGATTWTTTTTTACTGTGAGAGTGGTGAGGCACTGGAGTAAGTTCCCTAGAGAAACTGTGGATGTGCCATCCCTGTCAAGTGTTAAAGGCCTGTCTAGATGGAGCTCTGAGCAACCTGGTCTAGTGAAAGATATCCCTGTCCAAACCAGGGGGAGTGGAGCTAGGTGATCTTTAAGATCCCTTCCACTCAGGCTATTCTATGATTCTATGAGAGTTTTTCTCAGGGTTTACTGATATTAGAAATTCAGAGTTGTCATGTTCAATGACAGTATTACATTTTTACTAGCTTGTTGGTTTGTTGGGTTTTTTCATCAGAAAATACACTGCTGATAYTAGATTTCATAATTGCAGGCATAAGTCTTTTGCAGTTATTTAGTTACTCATTTATGTATTCACTCGGCACTGAGGCAGTGAAGTGATCATTATCACACGCGGCATGAAGTGATTATTTTATACAACACCCAAGAAACAAATGGCACCTGCACATAGGAAAAACATTGAAGTTATACTGTATAGGCAGAAATTACACATATTAACGTTTTAAAAGGTTTCAATCACAATGTCTAAAAATTCATTGTTTCTTTCTTCTCTTACTGCTGGTGAATTCAGTGGATTAATATAGAATTTYCAACTCCTTTCCAAAGGAGATACTGTCAAACTTAAGTATTCACATCTCTGTGGTTAAGAAATACTTTTTAAAGAGAGGAGAGCCTGTCCATCTGGGTTCAGTTTAAACACTTGATCCTGTCCTGCATAAAACAATATTTAGCTAAGAAAAAAAGTAATTTTCACCTCTAAAAAAAGGTGTGAACACTTAAGAGTATTCTGTGAACTATATTGAACCCTATTACACCTGCCAGCTATAAAAAAATATCCAGTAGCCAGGGTTCAGGGCTCATTTTCATTATTTGTCCATGCTTACTGTTGTGCTCATTTAACTTATTGATACATACAGTCATTAATGCTGCTACAGTAGAGGAATACAGAGTGAACAATTTTATGGCTAAGTCATTAGCTGATTTGAATCAGTTCCAGTTTTCCAAAAGAAAAGGTGACAAATTGAATAACAAGTGAATTCTGTTTMTTTTCTGTGACTTAAACTGGTTTCTGTTTCTTAATTTGTACTTTATTTTAATTGAGTGCAGTTCTAAAATTCAATATACTTTTAAAACAAAGCAATGAGTAGTGCTTTTGTGGATTAATAGAGCCTTTTAAWTTGATTTCCTTTTTCCATTATAGCTAGATAGATATAGCTGTATTAGCAAAATAGGCCACAGCAAGTTCTTACCTTTCTACAACTGCTGTCTGTAATGAATATATTTGAATATAAATCATGCAGTTATTATGCAGAACACATAATATATTTTAGTATGTTAGCCAGATTCAAGCTTAAATAACAGAAAACCTTTTGCTAACAGGATTGAATTTATGCAATGGCAAGGAATTGGCAAGGCAGTGCCCACATTAATCCAAAACCTGGATGTAGAGGGGTTCTTCTGCAGCTGGCCATTGCTCTCCCTGTTGCCCTTGAAGTCAAGGACCCAGAGACACAAGAGTCGGGGCCTGTCCTCCTTCCCTGCACGAGGTCTCACAGGTAGAGGAGCACAGCTGCCAGGTCCTTGCACACACAGAAAAGCAACAGCAATAGTTGCTTTCTTAACCGAACGACTCATCTGTCCTTACAAATGACAGCTAATCTCGGGTTTGATCTGTGTCTTTTCTCTGCTTGTATCATACTTGTACTACCCTGGATCTTTTTGTATTTGAAATTCCCTCACTCTTTTCCACTGCAACTCCATGGTCAATCTTTTCACAGCTAGTTTACTCTTTCTTTC